GCCCTCTGCGCGGCACTCACTGTCCTTGTCCGTAGGCGGCTGCAGAGAGTAGAGGACACCTTGGGGACCACTCGGCGAGAGGCCCGGGCTGCCTGCTGGGCCCGGGGGTCCTGGGGGACCGGGGCGCCCCATCTCTCCAGGAAGCCCACGGGGCCCGGGYGGCCCCAAGAGCCCTGCAGTGGGGGAGAGGAGTCACCGTGAGGGCGGGCAGGTGCAGATAGGGACACTGAGGCCCTGCGGGGACAGGCTGGCCAGGGTCACGTGGAAGGAGCCTCTGGGAGGCCAATGAGAAGCTCCTCCTTCCCAGCCCAGTGCAGAGGGGACGGGGCAGCGGGGACAGAGGTGAGGGAGGCAGGGACAGCAGGACAAGCACAGACCCCAGCCAACGCCGGGGGTCCTCCAGGGAGCTCAGCCACCAAGAGGGGCTCCGGACCTCGGCCAGCGCCACCCCCCAGGGACTCGGGAGGAGACGAAGGGTCCTGGAGGTTGCTTSGGTGGCTGAGAACAAGCCCCTGATCCTGGCACTGGCCGCCCTCACCCAGGGTCCCTGCAGTCCTTCTCCTGACMGCCCAGGGTGTCCGACAGGGAGGGGACGGAGGAAGGAGCCCGGGCCCCTGGCGGGACAGGGGACACCTCTGCTGCCAGGGCAGCGGACGAACGGTCCTTGCCTCCTGTGGACACGGGAGGGGTCCTTACCTGGAGGTCCCACTGGGCCCTTCTCTCCTGCCTGGCCCCGGTCACCTTTGGAGCCCGGGGGACCTGCAGGCCCTGGTGGCCCAGTCTGCCCTGGGGGCCCTAGGAGAGAGGGAGGCGAGGCCTGAGACTCGGGGCCTGACCACAGGGGGTGTGAGGTCTCCGTCAAGGACACAGAGCCAGGTGTGGCTCAGGTCCCTGCACTCCAGGTCCCGTCCTCTTGCCCTACTACCTCCTGCTCGAGGTCAAGTACAGGGCTTGTGGTCTCCAGGCCCTGGGGCTGGACCAGAGTGGGGGGTGGACACACTCTCTGGCCCCTTGTCCCTCTGGGCTTACTGACTGGGTGGAAGGACTTGCTTTGCCTCTCGGTGCCCTTCCTGTTCTGGCCSCGCTGCGGGCTCCTGGGAGCCCCACCTGCCTCCATTCCTGGGGCCAGCTGGGAGGACGCCCAGGTGCCACCATTTGTAGTGTGCTCCTGCCACCTTGTGGCCATTGTAGGAACTGCATGTTCCCTGGTGAGAAAGGCAGGGGCCTCCCAACACCCACCTAGAGGGCTTGGGGTCTGGGTCCTCTGAGGACCCAGAAGAAGGAGGTCATGGGGAAGTGTCCTGGGCATGAGACCCTGGGGGCAGTGGCTCAGGGCGCAGGCCACCCAAGTGCGATGCCCCACCTTCCTCATGGCAGCCTGCCCCGGCCACCTCCCACCAGCTCTGGCTCCTTTAGAAGGACAGGGACATCTGCTTCTCCCCAGGAAAGGCCGCTGGACGCCACCTGGGGATCTGCCCTCCCTGTCCCCCTCCTGCATCCCTTGTCAGAATAAGGACAGAGGAGGTGAAGGACAGGTGGGTGCCCAGAGCTGAGTCTGGGGGCTCGACTGGGAGAGGAGAGTGAGCAAGTGTGTTCCCTCCAAAGGGCTGAGGTGGGGCTGAGGCTCATCGTGGCAAAATGCTGGTAACTCAAGGTGAGTTACCTAACTTYTCTGAGCCTTGGTTTTCTCCTCTGTAACTAAGACTCACAAGCTTTGTGCACAGCTTRGAAAGGGAATCTGTCCTGCCTATGAACATACTCAGTAACCCGCACAGCGTGCACCCTGACTGTCACGGGGCCCCAGCCGTAGACCCGGGTGCAGCCATATTGACAGGTGCTGGCTAAACATCTCCCCAGGACACACCCCAGCGGAGTGCCCAGTCCTGACCAGGCCTTTGACAACTGTCCCTGTGACTGCAGCTGTTCTTACTCTCTACAGCCCGAGGGCAGAGCRGAGAGCTCAGGTAGAATCTGCAGAGAGGACATTTTACCCTTGACTTTAAAGTAGAACAAGAMGACAGGGTGACAGATGTCCCCCAGTTCTGGCCTGAGTGGTCAGTGAGGACTCTGTGGGATGTGGGCAGGGCCTTTCACAAGATGGAGCTGAGCAGGGACGGGCTGGGYGGGACTGGTGGTCCAGGGCAGGCATTCTGAGGACAGTGGCTGGATGGCAGGACAGTCAGGAGGGGTGGCAACTGCGGCAGACGGCAGAGTCCAGGCTGGGCCTCAGCAGCTGCCAGGTGCCTCCCTGGCCCCCACGGCCATGGCTCAGCTTTTCCAAGCATCTCCTGAGCCTGTTGGACACTGAGGCCAACTTGGGGAGGTCCCTGGGGGCAGGCCAGYGCACCGCACCCTGCAGGCCGCACTCACCAGCTGGGCCTGTGGGCCTTCTCCTCTGGGGCCCCGGGTGAGCCAGGGGGATGGCGCCCGGGAGGAAGTCCTCACTCCAGGGCGGGGTGCTCTGCGGGGCGGGCAGGCCGTTGTCCGGGCCCGAGGGCTGCTCTGCTGCCTCCAGCAGGAGGACCTGGCCGGGAAGGGCGGAGGGTCAGGCCCGCTGGCCACCAGGGATGCGTGTGCGCAGGGTCCTGTCCCATGGGACCACAGTTGTCCCCTTCTGCAGCGGCTGGTCGTGACTCTTAGCGGGACCACGGATCCTTTTGTCCTTCCTCCATTAGGAAGGACCCCGAGGCCCACCCTGGACCCTTGGATGCAAGCAGGTGCCAACAGGTGCCCTCCAGAGCGCTGTGCCTTGCTCACCCCTTCCTGGGCAGTGCCCCAGGGGGGAAAGTGTGTGTGCCTTTTGTCCCCCGCCACATTTGGCTGGGCCCCTGAAGTGGATAGCTGGGAAGATTGGTGGGGGGAGGGGGAGGGGAGAAGGAGGAGGAGGGGAGGAGATGGGTGAAAGGATGGGAGGGAGGGGGAGGGGGAGATGGGGGGAGGGAGGAGGGGAGGWGGAGGTAATGGGGAGGGGTGAATAGTACCGCCTAGTGCATGGGCTCCAGGGTCCTATCCAGGGAGACGGGTGGCTGTAGCTCCTCAGGACTGGCCTGGAGCACAGCCCTGTCCTCTGTCCTYGAGGCAGGCAAAGTCAAGGACAGCAAACTTGGGGAGCAAATTTCCCCTTAAAGCTCCTGGGAGCCAAGATTTAGGCCCCACAGTCCCTGCTGTCCCCAGAGAAGCCAGCAGGGGGCGCTGCGAGCTTGGGCTGGGAGCAGCGGCCAGGTCCTGAGAGCCCCGCACCCTCCAGGGTAGGGCCTGGGCAGAGGGGTGCTGCGTCCTCACAGAGCTCAGGCTGGCTGGGCTGTCACGGGGTGCAGCTGTGGAGTAGCCCCCTGGGCAGTTCAGCAAGTGGGAGCCCCTCCTGCCCATCCCCAACCGGGGCCACTTCTCTTTCTGGTCCTCATAAGATCTCACAGACAAGAAAGGTCACTGGTCACGTTTCCACGCATGAAGTGGAAACAGAAGCTCAGGGAAGGCAAGTGACTTGCCAAGGTCACACAGGGAGGGCCGAGGGACCCAGTGCCTCCCCCACCAGACCACAGATTGTCCCACCCACGGCTCAGCCACCRCCTGGGCCAAGCTTCATGGAGTCACCAAGTAGGGAGCAGCTTGCTGAGCTCAGGGTGGAYCCCCCAAAGCAGAAAGGGGCTCCARCTGCTGAGCACCGTTGGCCGGTCAGCCAAGGCCAAGGTCGGGCTCTACGGAGGAGCCAGGCAAGCGGCAGGAAGGCCCTGGCCATGGGTGGCAGGAGGTGGACTAGGGCAGCCATGTGAGGGCGGGAACAGGGGACAGAGGGGCCAGGATAGCGGACGAAGGCTGCTCCCCCACTGGTGCCCTGCTGCTGGGGACAGCAGGTCGTCCACTCAGCAGACAGGGGTCGGCGGGGGGTGCCGGGGACAAGCACAGTCATGTGGGCTGAGTGGCCATGTCCTGGGGGAACCTGAGGGTTGGTGCCAAGATGGAGCCACCTGAGGGGGACACGGACCAAGGGCAGTGGAGGGAGGTGGCACTGGGGGTTCTGGGGATRGGGCGGCCCTGGTGTCCTTGGTACTGGCTCCAGCCGCTGCCCCAGCCGTCTGGCCTGGATGGCCCCCTTCCTGAACTCCTCTCCCCCGGCTCTGCCAGCCACAGAGCACAGACCTGGGCAGCAGAGTCTGGACTTCAGCCAAGTGAGAATGAGGCCCAGCCAGAGCCCAGSGCCCCTGGCCCGGGGGTGGCCACCCTCCTGGAGAAGCRATGTCATCCCTGCCCTGTRTGAGCTCACCGGGYGGGTGGCAGTGGGTGTGGGGACTCAGCCCAGGAAAACCTGACCCGGTCTGGGGAGCAGAGACCCTGGTGACGTCACTGCGGCCCAGCTGCCTGGCCAGGCCACCGCCCTCCTACCCAGAGCCTGRCTGAGCTCTGAGACGGCTGTGGCCCCCACAGAGGGAAGTCCCTTCATGTGGTCCATGAGGTCAGGCTGTAAAGTGCGGGGCAGGAGTGGATGAGGGCTGGCACCGCCCAGGGCCCTGCGGCCTTCTCGGGACAAGYAGGTGGCGGGAAGTGAAGACGAGGTGAACCCTGATGGCTGTCTGGCCCCCAGCTGCCCCTTCTTCCCTGGCTCCAGAATGTGCRTGTGGCCCAGAGGAAGAACCGTGACTGGCCTCAACCAATTACAACAATCCTCTTCTGCTTGGTGGGGTAYTCAATTTCCCAGTTCCCTTGCAACTATGAGGTGGTCTTACAGCCAGCCCAACGCTGGCCCATGGAACATAATGAGTCTTTGGGGTGCTTTGTCTCACTGTCCACTTCCTGCCTTTTAACACGGAACACTGTGTGAGTATGTGTTGTCTTGAGCTGCAGCAGCCACTTTGTAACTATGAGACACCAAATGTGAAGACGAAAACCCATTCTCTAAGGAAGTGTGGGTGGGGAAGAGGCCATGAAGAGCCTGGTTTTCAAGCCTCGGAGACAGACCTGAGGCCACTTGCTCCGGGGCTTCCTGTGGAACAAACATCCTTATGGAATCAGCTACCACTGGCTGTTCTTGGTCACGGGTGTCCTTTCTGACACCCAGACGTGCCTTGCCTGAAGCAGCAGGAGCCYCAGTCTCCAGGCCTCAAGGTGGTGGCTGTCCCTCCTGGCTTCTGACCCCCGTCCGGGGTCTTCCTGCCTGGCGGCTGCCCTGGGCCCAGCAGGGAGGTGAGACGGGCCACTGCTGGGGAATCCAGGCAACTGTCCCCTCTCCCTGGCTGCCTCTGCCCGCCCTCCCTGGCTCCCACCAAGAGCCGTCCACCCTGGACCTGCCTCACAGTGACCTGGGGACAGGAGGTGGCCCAGCCTCCCTGGTCCCTGGTCCCAGCAGGACCCAGAGTGGGGGGTTGCCAAGGCAAGGGGCTGCTGGGACAGAGGGCCTGGCTCCTCCTTGACCCCTCCTCTGTCCTCTGTCCCTGCCACCAGCCCCGAGGTCACAGAGCCCCCTGCCCTGCCCTGGGGCRCTGGGGCCTGGGGCAGGGAGGGCCCAGGACGCTCATGGCGGGGGCAGGGTGGGGCCAGGTKGGGGGGACCTGCTGGCTCAGCGCCAGGCCCCCCAAAACTGTGACTTCTAACACCCAAAGGTTGGGCAGGGCCAGGCTGGCCGCCAACTCTCCTCTGTGCCAAAACGCCAAGGTGTCAGGCGTGGAAACTGTCCGCCGGGCCGGCCCCACCTGCCCTGGAGTCCAGCGCCAGGTCCCCGGCATCCTCCCATGCCCGCGAAGCCCATCTGGGGCTGACCCGGGCCTGGCTCCCTGAGCCCTGACCCCTGGGTGCTACTGTCCCCCGGGAGGGCAGCCTGTCACCCCTGTCCCTGGGCCTGCGCCTGGGGGCCTGCTGGCCTGCAGAGGGCACGGGACACAGCAGCCGTGAGTGGCCTGGGGTCCCTCAGGTCCTGTGCTGACCCCCATGAGTGCAGACGCTGCTGACTGCAGGTCCCTCGTGGTCAYTCCAGCCCCCGCCGGCTGGTCCTGCCCAGCTCCCTCCTGGCCTCGCTCCGGCCCCGGCCTCTGCAGGGCCAGCCCACCTCGGTAGTCCCCACTGCTCCAGGAGGCCCCACAGAACGTGGAGGCGGCTCAGCTGTGTCCCCCGGGGCCTGTCCTCTCCAGGTCCCTCCAGCTAATCACCTGCTTTAGAGGCTGCCGKGTGTGGAGGGGCCAGGGCAGGTGCCGCTGTTTGCCGCCTGGACGCCCTGGCCACACAGGCTGGGTTTCTGGCTGCGGGCACCTGTGACTCTGCCCAGCCCCTTCTGTGGCCACAGGAACGTACTCAGCAGGTGGGCAGAGGTGGGCAGGCCCGAGGGACAGGGACTCACGCTGCCRAGGAGCCTCCGGTGCGGGCAGGAGAGGCTGCCTGGCCTCACCCTCCCTGGCAGGCGGCTCCGACACGCAGCCCCCACCTGGCTGAGTGGCAGGTGCCCCCCGGGTGGCCCACGATGTCCTGAGCACAGTCCCTCCGTCCCCACCCAGCGCTGCTGCGGCCACTCCCAAACAAAGCTCTGGCTCTTGACAGAGTTCCTCTGCCCCTGGGGACCCACCCAGGACCAGCCCATGTCCATGGGTGCCCTACTGAAGGTGGGCAGCTCTGCCCACTCCCCTGTGCCCAGCCCCAGGGCAGGCGGTGGGCAGAGGGGGCAGAGCCGGAGCTGGGAACCGCCGCTTGGAGAGACAGCCACACTGCCCTGACCTCCGGGGTCCACCCGGCAGCCTCAGGGTCTGGGGCTCCGTGCCACTCGTCCTGCCAACACCCAGCCTGCTGCCTGGGACCTCAGATCCCTTGCCCCCCTCCCCCTCCCCAGGAGGCTGGTCCAGCCCAAGCAGGTTCCCCGGGGCCACCCAGCAGCACCCAGGGGCTAGGTCCGTGCTGCTCAGGCTGCTGGGCTCCTGGGCTGGGTCCGCCTCGCCACACCCAGCAAGTGCCCACGTCGCTGTGGGCCCGACCCCTCCCTCCCAGCTCCCCGCGCCCAGGCTCCCCSCTCTCCGACCTTGGCCTCCAGCGTGGTCAGCCGCTCACTCATGTCACTCAGCCGGGTACAGTTCATGCATTCTGAAAGACAAGGGGAACCAGAGGTCAGAACGTGGACCCTGGGAGCGGGCAGCCAGGCCCAGGGCAGCCTCTGMAGTCAGGCAGGGAACCTGGAAAACTCCTACTCGACCTTCAGAGCCTTCTGCTCAGGGCCCCTCCTCCACGCAACCTGCCAGACCTGAGCCTCGGCACATYGTGCCATCACTGCACAGTGTCTGCTCTGGGCCAGGCACCGAGCAGCTCAGGGGACACCGCAGCCTGTGGGTGCCACAGGGTGGGGGTYTTTGGTCTCGGGGGCTAACACAAGATCTGATCATGGATGGGTAAGTGGTAACAGTCTGAGGAAGGAGCTGAGCCRGCAGACACGGGTCACTAGGGCAGAAGGATCTGGGTACATCGCGGGGATGGGACGTTGAGGCCAGCATGGATGGGGTCAGTCAGGGAGGACATTCTGAGGGGAGGCAGCTCAGGGGAGGCCTGAGAGCTGCAGGGTGGTGGCCAGATTCAGCGAGGACAGGGCAGAGTCCGCAGCCCACACACTGGGGACCACTGAGACCCAGGAGGTGCCTGGGGCCCTAACGCCCAGGCACAGCAGTGCCCAGGAGCCAGCGGGTGGTGCTGGAGGGTTTGGGCAGGTGAAAGGCCAGATGTGCATGCCGGAAGCTCACCCTGAGCCCTGTGTCCAGGGGGCAGGAGCTTCCTGGGCTGCAATTATGTATCCACGTCTGTTTACCTGCCCTGGGCAGACAGAGGGTTCAAGGCGGCTCTGAAGAGCGTGTGTTGCCCAGGAACTCAAGGGTGGCTTCACATCCTCTCTGTCCTCCCTTCAGTCCAAAGCCTGACTCTGGGGGACCCCCTTCTGCCTAAACAGACTCCCAGCAGCTCCCGAGGCCTTCGGGTGGGGCAGCAGGTCCCACGTGGCCTGTGGGGGCCACAGACACAGGTTGCTTGGCCTCTTGCTGCCACCGTCCACAGGACCTTGGACTCCTGTTTGGGACCTTATTAACTTCCTTGCTCTGAAATGGACCCCCGAGGGGTCCTGGGGCCATAAAAAGGGGTGGTTCAGATTGTATCCTCCGGGGATGTCCAGCTGCGGGGCAAGAGGAGGACATCGGCCTGCCGTCCCCCCAGCCCTACCTGGTCTCCGGGAAGGAGCCCTGAGAGCTCCAGGGGACCCCCGCACCCCTCCCTTCTGCCCTTGTCTGCACCAAATTAGTGGTTTATAAGCATTTTCTGGGAATAAAACTCTCCCCTCCCCTCATAAAACCTTGTCAGCAACATAAAACAGATTAAAGACCGAGGTATAAACACTGAACAGGGAAACAACTAGAGGAATGTATACAGTTGTCTGATGCCGGGACCAGAAGGGACTTTATAAAGGACACGCAGTGGGGGTGGGGGTGGTCTTCTGGTTTAACATGGTGGATTGAACACACATGTTCCCCTCCGGCCCTTCCCAGGACTGGGAGGTAAAGAAATCAAAAGTAGAAAATCCACCAGCACAAGAGAAAGGCAGCGCAGGGTCCCCCTCAGCAAAGGGACGGTCAGGCACRCGCACCTGGRATCCCAGGGGCTCGGGAGGCTGAGGCCGGAGGACCGTGTTCAAAGCCAGCCTCAGCAACTTAGCGAGGCTCTGAGCAACTCAGTGAGACCCTGTCTCTAAATAAAATTTGAGAAAGGRCTGGGGGTGTGGGTCAGTGGTTAAGCACCCCTGGGTTCCATCCCTGGTACCAAAGGAAAAAAAAAAAGATTCAAAGGACAAAAATTTTGCAAGATGGAGTGCATCAGGCGCCCAGACCCAGGCTAGCAAAACTGAGGAGGGATGGGAGGTGGGAACCACTGGGCCCTCCTGAGGCTGGGGAAGCCCCAGGTGGAGAGGGGAGAGGTCCTCTCTGGGGAATGGGGACCTGCCCCAGAGGAAACCCTGTAGAAGTGACATTCGCAGAGACCTCTGACACAACAGCTGAGTCCCAAGAGACAGCCTCCATGGGTCGTGGTCACCAAGGCCCTGGCAYGTGGCTCTCGGTGTGTTCCCCTCACACTCCTGCAGCCAGGCATTCTGGGCTGCTGTAAGAAGCCGTATGGAGCCAGGCGAGGTGGCGCACGCCCGTCATCCCAGGCACTCGGGAGGCTGAGGCCAGAGGATCGCAAGTTCAGAGGCCAGTCTGGGCAACTTAGCAAGACCCGGTCCCAAAATTTTAAACAAGGCAGGAGGTTGGGCTGGGGGTGTAGCTAAGTCATAAAGCAACCCCCAGTTCAGTCCTCAGTAGTGGGGAGGAAAAGCCCCTGAATGGGGACAGGCAGGGTTCAAAAGGAGCAGGGTCCCATTGCCTACCCACCCATTCCCCATCCACCCACCCCAGTGCCCCCCCAACCACCCCCTTCAGCCACCTGGAGGCCCCATGGATGCTCAAGAAGCCCTCTGGGGCCCTGTGTCAGCATGGAGGGGTGACAGGTCAGCAGGGCAGGGTGCCTGCTCTCAGGGACTGACTCTTTGGGGAGCAGGGGTTCACGGAACCCCCCCCCCCCAGCAGCCTCGTCTTTCTGGGCAGCCTGGTGACACTGTAGCTGGGCCGCAGCCTGCCCTGCCCACACCCCGGGGCCAGCAGGAAGGGTGCCGAGGAGGCCGAGGTGGACGTGGGAGGTGGAAGCTGGAGCCAGGMGGGTCCACCCAGGCGGGTCCACCCRGGCGGGGCACAGGGCAAACCGCACATTCTGGAGGCCTTAAGGGGCTGTTTCCAGGGTCTTAGGCAACAAACAGGACCCCCTGCAGGGGGCAGGTCAGTGGAGGGAGGGGGCCTTGGGCTTTTTCTGGAAAGTGCTCTGGGCAGGGGCCCAGTTGGCTCTGGCACCCGGYAGCCTGCTTGGCAGGTGAGGAGCAGTTGGCTGTCAGCAGGCACAGAGGGGCCAGCTCCCCAGCCTCAGCGAGGCCCAGGAGGCCCGGCTCAGCCTCCCCGTGCCACCCGCCTGGGCAGGSGCTCCAGATCCGCAAGGTTTACGGCTCCCCTGGCATCTGCCACCGACAGGCAATTAAAGCCTGTTTTTTGTTTTAACTTTCTCTAATTAGTCGTTGGAGCCGTGGAAACAGGGAGAGGGCGCAGGTGGGGCCGAGCCYGCCCCCGGCTCTGGGACAGGCAAGGCCCTCCCAGTGGCTCAGGCCTCAGTTCCCTTGCCGTGATGTGGGCTCTCCCTTGCTGGGATTCTGAGGTCCCCAAGTTCCCCCAGYAGCTTCTGGAGCACAGGTGGGTCCCTGGGCACCTGGCAGTACAGGAGGCTTCCTGGGGTCCAGAAGGCGCAGAGATGGGGGGGGGGGGCTTTGCCAATTGTGTATATCAGAAATTTGGATGGCTGACCAGTGTGTGTGAGTGAGTGTGTGTGTGTGTGTGTGTGTCACAGAGAGAGAGGCGGGGGGGGGAGAAGTGTGGTCAGTGGAAAGAGAGTGGCGGAGGCCTGGTCCAGGCTGACTTACTTGTGGCTTGGGGAGCCCCTGCCCGGGGCCCACCTCGGCTCCCCATCTTTAAAAGGGTCTCCACCGGATCAGCTCCAGGCCTCCGGCCTCGGGGTCCTGGGCTCCTGCCACCTGTGCCCTGGTCCTCATCCTCTCATCTCCAGTCTGGGCCACCCCTGGCGGGGCAGTGCTGCCAGCTCGCCTGCTGTTGGCCTCCTTCGGCCATGCAGGCTCCCTCCTGGAGCCCAGGACCCACCTTCACCATGAGACTGGACTCCTGAGCCTGGGCCCAGAGAGGGGCTCTGGCTGCCTCAGGCAACCAGGGAAGCCTGTGTCCTGGGACACCAGGGCCAGGACCCTGATGGGGCAGCCAGGGCGCACTGTGGCTTTGTCCCCAGAGGCCAGTTCTCTCTGTGAGAAGTCACTGAGGGAGGTCTGCAGGTGGGGGAGGGGGTGTGCATGCAGGATGGTGTCACTAGCAGGATACCTCAAGCTGGGTCCAGCTAAAGGATATACTTAAAATTGGGGAGACTCCAGCTACACCACACCCTTCCCATTGGGCCACACCCCTCCAGCTCTGCCATACCCTTCCCATTAGGCCACACCTCAGCTATGCCACACCCCTTCCATTGGGCCACACCCCTCCAGCTATGCCACACCCCTTCCATTGGGCCACACCCTCCAGCTATGCCACATCCTTCCCATTGGGCCACACCCTCCAGCTCTGCCATACCCTTCCCATTGGGCCACACCCTCCAGCTCTGCCATACCCTTCCCATTAGGCCACACCCCCAGCTATGCCACACCCCTTCCATTGGGCCACATCCCTCCAGCTATGCCACATCCTTCCCATTGGGCCACACCCCTCCAGCTATGCCACATCCTTCCCATTGGGCCACACCCTCCAGCTACACCACACCCTTCCCATTGGGCCACACCCCTCCAGCTCTGCCATACCCTTCCCATTAGGCCACACCCCCAGCTATGCCACACCCCTTCCATTGGGCCACACCCCTCCAGCTATGCTATGACCCTTCCCATTGGGCCTTGGCCACACTCCTCTGCTGGGCCACGCCCCTTTCTTCCCTGAATTTCGCCCAGTCTCCAAGCCCCGAGACATGTAGTTCCTCYCTCAGGACCGTCCTATTCCCTGCCTCCTTCTTTGTCTCACAGTCCATCCTCATCCTTGAAAACACAGCCAGAAAAATGCTATGGCAAACAGGAGGGTGGCACGGGCCACCGCGGCCATCTCTGAGGAGAATGGCCGGACCCCCATTACCACACTCAGGGAAGGGGGAAGCCGCAGAGCAGGGCGGTGTCAGGGCTGCGTTACTGCAGGAGAGGAGTGGGGGGAGGAAAGCCTCTGGTGCTCTGGCCACCTTCTCACTCCAGTGTGAATTCAGCAGCGCTGTAATCAGCAGYAGGGGTCCCCAGCTCCAAGTGGCCCCAGAGAGCTGCAGCGAAACTCYGCCACACCCTCAGGGCCATAGGATTCCTCTCTGGGGAACCTGAGTGGCCCAGGAGAGAAGATCTAGAGATGCCCTGACTCTGGGGCCAGAAGCCTCTGCGAGGA